CTCCCTCTCCCCCCCCCCACCTCCTGCCTACCTGTTGCCAGCGGTCCTCGAGAGACGGTTGTGCGGAGAAGTAACCGGTGTCGTGTACTATCTGTAGCTCGCGAAATATACTCCCACTCGGCAGCACATCCATGACGACCTGTGTGTGTTTTGTACGTACGTACGTACGTACGCGCGTGTAGGTAGCTAACTAACTATAAGGCCTAAGCCGGCGTTGGTGAGCGAGAGATCCAGGGTCCACGAGCAGCGGCCGTACACACGCAGGTACAGCGCGACCACGCAGCACTACGGCGAGCCGGGAACCGGCAGCAGCAGCAGCAGCAGCAGCAATGATGCACACACAACAGCGGCAGCACGGAATCGACGATTCGCTTGAGTCGCAGCCGATGCACGGTTTGGTCTACGGTTGCTCGGACATCGGGGAAAACTCGACAGAGAACTGACTGGTGTATGTAGAGATAGATTTGTGATGGCGTCGGGGGCTAGCAAGAGAAACTTGCAGCGGCTATACGATTGGACGCATGATGTTCAGCGTGTTTGCGGGAGTCTCCACTCCAACACACTGACAGACCGAAGCACGGACGGACAGCCTGCCCGCGAGCTCCACCAATGAGCGCACGCGTTACAGCACGGTGCAGACGGCCGTCGAATGAACGTGCGGATTTCAAATGGGGGCCGTGCTAGTTGGAGGAATTTGCCTTATATGGCTGACTATATGTAAATGAGTGTATTTATAGACCCAAAGTTCATTGATTGAATTCAAGCACCCAGAGCTTGCCGCTGATTGCCAGACCTCGTAAACTGGATATGCACATAATGTTTTACATTACCCCAACGCGAATATGTTAACCTAAATTAACCTATTATTATGTTATCCTAACTTCTGTTAGGGTTAGGGTCTTTTAATTTGATGAGTATTTGTGGTGAGTCAGAAACACTGCATGGCTCATTATTAAAACTATGAAATAATTTTTAATTAAATATATACATTTTTTTAACTTGTTTTTAATAAGGGCATATAGACGCCAATTATAAATGTAAGTTGTAGTAAGATATTAGTTTCAATTAATGTACGGTTTTTGGTAAGCAATAAGTGGCAAAGTTACGTTGATTTTCATTCTATATAGGTTCTTATAAATATTTGTAAAATTGAGACGTCGACCCTCGTTAATTACTCAGAATCGAATTACTGAGTTATAATTGTAACTATAGCGCGTGCAGTTCATTTATTTGCTGATTTTTTTTCATAAAATTTTATCCTGGCTGATGTTAGGTGCGTATTAGTTAGATTGTAAAACAATTGTGATGAATTTGTAAAACAATATAATTATATATATATACAAACCTACTCAGTCAGGGTTATTTGAATAGAATTAATAAAATCATGCGAATTTTATTATTGTCATGGTATCACGGTTTCAGCTGCGCAATATACCCTTCTACGCGCACACCGTGGAATGAATTATTGTAGGTTGTATTTGAGTAGAAAATATGCTGTCGCACATAGGCTAATGCATTATTTATACGATAAATTTTATAGTGAGTATATTATATATCTGCTTCGCGGAGATTTTCTGTGCTCAAATTCAATGAATAATTTAATCCCTTCGGCTTGTTTATCACGTTAAGCCTACTTGTCTAGATAATAGAAATCGTAGCGTGCGATGTCTATGGAATAGATAGAGCGCGTAATCCATTAATCTGATTATTTTATGTGTGATTACAGAATAACGCAGAAAACAGTGTATCTTGATTTTGATCTTGATTGTGTACTGCGTCGACCGCGTATACGCGTATTATCAGGAGTCTATCAATATTGATAGACTCCTGGTATTATGACGCAGGTGGTGGGGCATGGTGAAATTAGGCGCTCCCGGCTGCGACCGCGACACAGATGGCGTCGATTACGGTCTGTGTGCAGGCATTCCAGTCCACGATGGTCCGTGGAAAGAATGAGTTCTTGAATTCCTCTGTTGAGGTTCTAATGACTGCGAGTTTGTTGTCGTTTTTGCTCCTTGTGCGGGATGGGCCCATCCTGATGTACTGGACTTTGGGGATCGCGGTACTTCCAGAGAAAATTTTGTTGAGAAGGTTGAGTCGCTTCTCTTTACGGCGTAGTTGAAGATTCGGCCAATTAAGTGATTGTAACATTGCAGTTACGCTGTTGGTTCTGCCATAATCGTTGCAGACGAATCTAGCTGCGCGGCGTTGGATCATCTCAATTTTTTCTATGTCTCTTTTTAAATGTGGGTCCCAGACTGTAGAGCCATACTCAGTCTAGCTTAGACCGAATGAGAGATTTGTATGCTGTGGCTTTCAGCGTTTTGTGCGCGTATTTCAGAATCCTTTTGACGAAGCCAAGGGTTCTGTTGGCTTTCGCACATAAACTATTGATATGTTTGCCCCACTTCAGGGTGTTAGAGAGATACAGAGTTGCTTCAACCTTGAGTGCATTCAAGTGACACTACGCGGCGCCACCGCCCACGCCAAGAAAACCGTTGTTCTCTTGGTTGATGGTTCCAGGTGAGCGTACGTGAACGTCATGAGGAAGTAACTTCTATTTTTAGCTCGTTTTTTTATGATTACCATGATAGAGTTTGTCGATACGGTGGCGTGAATCTATTCGTATTTTCTTAAATTACTTTGGCATCGTCATTCCTCAACTTCGATTAGTGTGGAAAACTTTGCAAAACGTAGTACTTGCAGTTGCACCTACCTACAAACACCGACAACACCAGACCAGACGCCGGGTAAGACTAAGCATTGAAGAGTAACAATAACAAAAACAACGACTCATTGTCATTGAATGGTTGACGCATACGGTTGGCCCTAGTTTAGCTCTAGTGCTAATCTATAGCCCGCGGATAGCTGCGGGCGAGTACCCCAGCCTGTGGCAACTATCCGCGGGCTATAGTACCAGAGCTAGCCCTAGTTAAACTCAGGGCAAGGCCTTAATAATTAGTAATATTCAAGACCATGAAGATAGCTAGATAATTATAGAGGTAAAAGATTCCAGCAGGTAAAAGTATTCCAGGGTTTTTACTTTGTTTATATACGTTGCATTTGCAGCAGCACTAGCAGTAGCTGTACTAGGGCCTATGAACGCGGGATATAGTACTAGAGCTACACTAGCAGCAGCTGCCACGTGTTGCTAAACGCCTCACGTCCTGGCCTTGCAGTGTAGTACACGTTAACCCTTTGCTTAACTTACGTGTAATGTCTTATCTTACTTACTCTAACGTCACATACATCATTAGAGGCATACAGTGCTACTGGTAGGACTAGCACTTCCTCCTAACTAATAAATTGAACGACATCAGTTTACTGACGTGTGTTCCTCAGAACCACTGCACTGGCACTGGACCTAGCTGTTAGGGAGTTCATAACGCATTATGCTCACAAACGGATGCGCGTCCGTACGTCTTTACTTTCACACCTTTTTTCCCTTCGAATAATCATTAATACGATATATATTAATTCATGAAAATATTGAATTAATTATTAATAATCAATTAAAAATTTATAATTATTTCGTTTTTGCTCGCAGATCGTGTGTGATGTTTGCGGTTAAGTTGCAGCGTTCGCTCTACGTTCCGTGAACGGCTGAAAGGAACAACGACGGAAGAACAACGCGCCACGACGCGGCGATGCACCTTCCCCGTGTCCCCTTCTCCCACGTTCTCGCCTTCGCTGCAGGAACTCTCCTGGGATTCGCGATCGTGTTCCACGCCGGCACTTCCAAGCGTGCGTCCGGAACGACGAGATCCGACGGCGTTCCCTCGGGAACGAACAATGCTGGAACAAGGACGATGAACAACGACCGAACGAACAACGGCGGAACAACGACGACGAACATCAACGAAACGAACGGCGAACCGCGGATCTTCTGCCTCGTGCTGACGAGCCCGGAGAACGTGCGCGCGCGGGCCGTTCACGCTCGCGACACGTGGACGCGCCGCTGTGACGGCCGAGCCTTCTACAGCTCCTCCCCCGACCCTTCCCTCCCCGCCGTCCCCCTCCCCGTCGCCGACGGCTGGGAGAACCTCTGGGCGAAGACGAACGCCGCGTTCCGCGATGCGCACCGTCGCCGCGGCGGCGCCGCCGACTGGTTCCTCAAGACGGACGACGACACGTACGTCGTCGTCGACAACCTCCGGCGTCTGCTGCGCGGTCGCCGCGGCGACGAATACGTCGGGCGTCACTTTGCGGCGGCGGGGGACGTCGAGCAGGGGTACATGAGCGGCGGCGCCGGCTACGCGCTGAGCGCGGGGGCGCTGGGGAGGTTTGCGCGCGAGGGCGCCGCCGCGTGTCTCCGCGCGGACACCCCGGCGAACGAGGACGTCGAGATGGGGCGCTGCATGGAGCGACTAGGCGTCGCGGCGGCGGACTCCCGCGACGAGCGCGCGCGCGAGACCTTCTTCCCGTTCGCGCCGGAATTCCACGTGGCGTCGCGTCGCGCGGCGTCCCGCCACCCGGAGTTCTGGTTCTGGAACAACCGGACGTACTACCCGCTCGTCGAGGGAGCGGAGGGCATGAGCGAGGCGGCGGTGTCGTTCCACTACGTGAAGCCGAACAGGATGTATCTGCTCGACTATCTCATCTACAAGCTGCAGGTTCACGGGCTGAGCAGAGACGACGCGACGTGACGAAGAGATCTAGAGACGGAGAAATGTGAGAGAGATGATCAAATGGATCAAATGTGAAGGCTAGAGGAAATGCATGCCCAACTCTGTAGCTGAAAGGAAAAAGCTCGTCAGAGACGACGCGAATGGAGTGAGCAGAGACGACGCGAGATGACGGAGAGAGAGAGACGAGGAAATGAGATGGAGATAGACGAGAGTAAGGGCATGCTTAGCTCTGTAGCATAAGCTTGTCGATCTGGATAAGGATCCGTGTCCTGTAGAAACAGTGAAAGCCTCTGCTTCAATTGACTACGTCACGAATTTTCTATGGTGTATATTTGTAAAAATTTTGTTGCCATTTTTTTACATTAAAAGTAAGTACTAACGGCACTAAATGTATCCTCAAA